GTATTCAATAAGTAAATGGTATTAAGGAATTCAGACTAGTGGCAAAACCCAACAAAGAACTGAATTTAAAATGATTAAACTATACAAATAGTCCCAAAGACAACATGGAGATGGTTACTGAATCTGTAAAGAAGTGTTAACACCCTTAATGGCCATGAACGTGAAAATCAAAAGTGCCATGAGATGCCACCTCATATCTGTTAGAATGGCTGTGGATACTTTAGTGGTAGAATGCTCATGGCCCTATATTTCATCTCCAGATCCACAAAAATGTCAAAAATAAAAACTATTGGTAGAATGTAGAAAAATGTCACCTTTGTACATTGTTGCTGGAAATGCAAATGCTATAACTGTTGTGGAGGTTTCTTTGAAAATTCAAAATGGAACTACATGTGACCATATGACCCAGGTATCATTATTCTGGGCTCTCCCACTTAGAACACAATGAGCTAAAGTGGATGACATTAAGGCAGACACATAAAAACAACATTCCATGATCACTCAGATACAGAGACATTTTTAAAGGAGTCAAATGGCAGCCAACAGAATAGCAGAGTGTTACCTGAGGTAGCAGAAGGTGAGATGGGATAAAGAGGTATAGGCCAAAGTATACAGAGGGGCCATTATAGAGAAATCTGGATATTGGAAGGTCAGCATGGGGACTACTAAGATATGCAGTCCAACAGTGTCTGAGACAATGTATGTTATAACCACCACTTCACTGCATGTATGTATGAATGTAAAAACATACTGCTGTATACTTCATATTTTACAATAAAAAATAAGTAAAAATAAAAGAAATAAGTGATTTATTCTCTTGTGCTAGTTTGAATACTTTGAATCTTTAATGTCCCCTAAAGGCTCACGTGCTAAAGGGCTTAGTCCATAGGGTGGCACTATTTGGAGGTGTCAAAATCTTACAGAACTGCGGCCTATTAGGAAATTTTAGCTTACTGGGTTAGGGTATACCTTTGAGAGAGTATGTGGATCCCAGTCCCTTACTCTTTATTTTTGCTTCAAGGCTATGAAGGGAGTGATTTTTTTTCAATGACAAACAGTCATCACTATTAATGTGCTTGTTAGCGGTCTAAAGCAATAGGACCAACTGATCGTGGAGTAGAGCCTCCAATAAACCTGTTCTCTTTAGAAGATGATTATCTCAGATATTTTCTTACAGCAGCAGAAAGCAGAAAACTAACACATTTGGAAGTAACCATTCCTCGGCTGATGAAGTCTTTGTCAACACCTCTGTTAAGTTCACTATCTACAGAATATCGACTGTAACTACCTTCCCTGAATTTCTATAGATGCTGCATCTCCAATAAACATTCATGATCAAAGTGTTCAGCTACTCATTTGAAAAAGGCTATTGTTAGAAAATGGCACAGGCTTTGTTACTCACTGGGAAAAAAAGAACAAAGAACATCCAGTAACGCACCAGAGCCATGAAGATAAAACATATTAAGAAATCATTTCTATCAGAAAATAATAAGAGGCTAGACTTACTTCCCCTGAGAAAGCCACAAAATTTTTTAAATATCGTTTTTACATGTAGGTAGGTGTCAGCTTACAGTAGTTTGCATTTCAGCATCTCTTTGACAGTCATGCCCACTTTATTATTCATGACAGTTACAAAAGGCAGGGCTGTAGATGCCATCCATCTAATGTGAAGGAAATGGTTCCATTTGGAATAGATTAATATAAAAACTTTTATTGGCATCTCTAATTTTTTAATGTAAGCTCTTGGCAATTTTTTAATGAGAAAAAGCAATAATGTAACAGACATTTCTGGATCACTTCCTCAAAAAGCTAAAATGCAACTCCAAGTCTCTCAAAAATCTTTTTAAAAGATGCCTGTTTAATCTCCACAGAAAATTACACAGATGTGCATACTCATTTGTGCATCTTCTGTGTATTTGTGCATTAATTAAATACTTTATTTTAAAAAGCCTCTCCAGAGAAACCTCTTTAAATGCTTTGATTTTATAAATGTGGTTTTTTTAACCTCATAGTTCCCTGCATTAAATTAGGGAGGGATTTCAAAGAAGATGCCTGGCTTTGGCATCACAGTTTCACTTACCAAGTTGCTGTTGCCACATTTGATCATTTTATATGGATTTAGAGTATTTCACATTATGCTATTAATAAATACATAATGTATAGTAAATATTATATTATTAGAAATTAACAGTCCCAGGGACTAAACCACCAACCAAAGAGTACACATGGAGGAACCCATGGCTCCAGCTGCATATATAGCAGAGGATGGCCTAGTCTGGCATCAATGGGAGGAGAGACCCTTGGTCCTGTGAAGGCTTGATGCCCCAGTGTAGGCGAATGCAAGGGCAGGGAGGCAGGAGTGGGTGGGTGGGTAGGGGAGTACACTCATAGAAGCAGGGGGAGGGGGATGGGATAGGGGGTTTCCGGGGGGAAACTGGGAAAGGGGATATGTAAATACATAAAATATCCAATTAAAAAAAGAAAAAAAGAGAAGTTAATCCTGACATGATTTCTAAAGGAAATGGAAATAAATAAACATGCATTGCATGTAATTTTAACTTATAGCACTTTTCTTGGAAATTTAATTTTGAAAAGAACATGAATTCAAAATTAGGTAGGAAGTGCGAGGAGGGTGGAGAGGGCAGTTATGGAACGGGGGGGGTGTGAGTATGCTCAAAATACATTGTGTGAAATTATTAAAGAATTGCTAGGTAGTGGTGGCACATGCCTTAAATCCCAGGACTCTGGAGGCAGAGGCAGGCAGATAGATATCTGTGAATTAGATGCCAGCCTTGTATTCAGAGTGAGTTTAAGGACAACCAGGGTTACACAGAGAAACAAAAGAGAAAAATAAAAAAGGAAATCATCAAGGAATTAATGAAAAAATCCACGAGGAGTTTGTATATGTCCACATACACACAGATGATATGCTTGCCTGAGGGCAATGCAGTCAACTGAACCAGCAGTACGGCTTGAGAAGCTAGGTTTAAAAAAAGCACCATTGTATAAGAAAGCTGTTAGGCACAAGAATGGGCTAAAATCTCATTTATGTAAGATGGCATAGTGGACTGGACAGAGCTAAATGAGACTTGTGGTCCATGATGTATTTGATGACTTTGGAAGCAGATGAATGCTTCAGATAACAAGATGGAAGTAAGTGGTAACACTAGCACATATTTTTTCATCCAAAAGACAGACATGCCATCATACTGCAAAAATCTCAGGATTTAGAATCAGGATACCTTCATTTGATTCCAAGCACTACCTGATACATGTTATGTGATATTGGATGAGTTAATCTCCCATTTTCACTTTCATTAACTCTAAAATATTAGTGACTATATAATATAATTTCTAAAGTCAAAGAATGGAGAATATAAACATTTTATAAAATATGAAATTATGTTATAAAACCTATGATTGATTTTTTTTGAAAAAGACTAGAATTTGAGGCTGCTGTCATGGGTGAGAGAGATCTCAGTGCTGGAACTCATGTAAAAGCGGACAGGGAACCAACTCCACAAAGTCATCTTCTGACTTCCACACAAGGCTATGGCAAGCACACCTACATCCATACGCTTATATAGAAAAGAGTTTACTAACTCAGCCATCTCCCTATCCCCTCCAAAGTACTTTCTATGTGGTGTGGCATTATGTCAATCCTTAAGGTGTTTTGCTTGACAACATAAGGCTCACATATAACTTTTTTTTAATTGTGGAATTATTTCAAGGAACTTTGAAATTAGATATGCTTTTCATTTCTACTGGAAAGAGTCAATGCCAAAATAAGAATTCCCATCATCCGAGATTGCCGAAAGTTAATGTCTGTTCAGAAAGACTAATAGCAGGAAGATGACACACAAAACACAGCCAGCTTCTAATAGTCCGCAGAGGGAATAAAAGGTATTTTTTTGTGTGTTAAAAATTTTTTGAGTGGGCAAGAATTATCTTTTGTAATTATAAGCTTGGGGCTGATTTGTTGTTTTTCATCTCTAAAACATGCTTTCTTTTAAGCATAGTGCTTTCAGGTAGAGAAGCCAGGCCTGGATAATGTAATTGTGTGGACATCTAGAAAAGCTTCTTTTCTGCATCTCACCCTGTCTTCAAGGACTTTCATGTCCTCATTCAGCTTCATTTACCCCAGGTTAAAATTTCCTACTTAAAAACTGCTTCCAGCTACTGCTTTATTTCAATATTTTTAAAAATTTACTCTCTGATGGCTGGTATCCAAACATTTGCAAGGGTGGAAGACACAGTAGTGGGCAGAGCAATGGGCAGAGACAAAGAATATGGTGGTGTGCATGACAGGAGATGCAGAATGTCTCTCTGTTTACGTTTTTCCGTTGTCCTTCTTACAGGCATGCTCAAGTTTGCCTCGCCTGCATACCTTTTATTTTGTAGTGTATTTAAGTCATTCTAAAAGTGTATAAAGTTTTAAAGGAAACTGAGACAATATTAATGAAAGAGGGTAGAGAAAGATACACTGTGTCCACTGATGGAAGTAAAGCTTTGCATTCCAGCAAAACACTGTGACTGATATCTGGGAAGACAGTTTATTGTGTTTCCTGATTTATTTGTATAGTTGTAAGTCATAGTCTAAGAAAGCTGGGATTGAACTGCTTAAACTCCCATCTAATGGTTCCTTTTTTGTCTGTGTATATAATGTGCATTCATTTGTGTATACATGTATGCATTGTGAGAGTGCATGTGTGTACAGATGTGTATGCCTGTGTTAGCACATGTATGTTCAGGGCAGAGACTGATGTTCAGTGACTTTTGTGATCACTCTCTACCATATATACTGATGAAAGAGCTCTCATTGAACCTGGACCTCACTGTTGCTGCTAATCTTTCTAGCCAACTTATGAGATTGTTACGCTTATACATTCTCTATGGATTTTTTTTTACTCACAGCATGCTAAATTGGTTTTATTAACATGGATCATGTAGTACTGAGTCTGTCACACACAGAGAAAAGGCTTTCTTCTGAGCCTACTCACCTCTACTGTCATCCTCATTGTCTTCCCAGGGTTCCTCATTTGCTAGCAGCGGGTTCTGCAACTCATTCATAGACCTCAGAGGGAAGGAATGTCCATCACCAGGGCTGGTGAAAAGAGAGGTAGTGAGTTTTCGACAGAGAAAGACTTTCATTTTTGATTCAAATTTACTTACTTATATACAGAAGGAGGGATTAAGGGAGGAAGTGAAAAAGGAGAGGGAGAGGGAGGAGGAAGGAAGAAGGGAGGGAGGGAGAAAAAGGAGGGAAGGAGAGAGATGGATGTGTGTGGATGTGTATGGGAGGACAATTTATGGGAATTGGTTCTCTCCTTTCACTATGTGGATCCCGGAGATTGCAGGTTGTTGGGTTTGGTGGCAAGTGCCTTTATACCAATGAAGCTTCTCACCAGCTCAGTCAGAGTCTTCTTTTCTGGTTCAGGCTGGCCTACAACTTGTAATCTGTTTCAGTAACCTGAGTGGTGGGATATAGGTGTGTGTCATCATGTCCTTCTCATACAAACTTTTGAGATGGTAATAATCTTCTTAGAAACGAGATATGATCATGGCTTTGGGGTTCTGTTGTTTTGAGGATTCTCTAGTCAAGTGCTCTACTACTGAACTGTATCCCACCATACTTGAGGAGTCTTAGTTCTTTTGTCTAAAGCCATGGTCAAATAAGTTCTTAGTATATCACCCAAGTATTATAATCTACTTGCTAAATTGCCCTTGATTTCCATGTCTTGTTTGTGTGTATGACTGTGACTGTTTTTGTTTGTACGTCATTCATTAACTTGCTTTCCGCAATGCCTCGTATAGCAATATGCAATGGAGTTTCGTAAATATCATTTAACTATGATAGTCTCAATTATATTCCATTATCATTCCCACTGTTTTGATTCTAAATTTTCAAGGGAGATGAGAAGAGTCACAATCACTAAATATAATGGGAAAAAAAGCTGTTGTGAAGGATGAGAGAATGCTCCTGCACCTTGCTATTTATTTGACTTGTAATGTAGACTTGGAAACAGAAATGGCAAGGTATCTCTGCAGTGGAGTTAAGGGACTATTTATCTACATCTTAGTCTGCTTTGTGGATGTCTATGATAATCTGAACCATGCCCCTAATTAATTTCTGGGCAATTAAAGATAGGAGGCTGTGGTAGAAATCATGGTGGCCCTAGTCAGATACTGTTACAGTTTCAGCAACTGAGTCTATATAGCTGAGTATATTCTAAGTTTAACACTGAATGACTCTTGAATTATTTATTTGATACTATATGTACTTTTTCTCCTACTTTTGATGTTGTAAATAAAAATGTTTATGGATTTTATTTATATCACTCTACAGAAAATGTCAGAATACTGATTATATAAGTGAATTGGCTTTGGTTTCTGCTTTTGTTTCTCTCTGCTAGAGTGATGCAGTGATAGAGTTTAAGTATGTGATCAGAATGCATGTAGATAATTCCTGCTAATAATTATTAATAGATATTACACATTGGCAAATTTTGTCTTGGTATTTATAGCTAGAAGAGTTCAGATTTATACAGACAAACAAGACATGGAAATTGAGAGCAATTTAGCAAGTAGATGATAATACTTGGGTGATATACTAAGAACTTATTTGACCATGGCTTTAGACAAAAGAACTAAGACTCCTCAAGTATGGTGGGATACAGTTCAGTAGTAGAGCACTTGACTAGAGAATCCTCAAAACACCACAGTCTTACACAAAAAACCCTGCAAAACATTAACCTGCACAGAGGAAGTATTGCTGCAGCAAGGTAAGGGAGGAGGAAGAGGAGAAAGAAGAGGAGGAAGAAGAGGAAGAGGAGGAGAAAGAAGAGGAGGGGAAGGAGGAAACTGAACCTTCATTGTTAGCTGACTCCAGCAAAGTTTTTTCCAACAAAAGAATATGACTATATTGCTATTTGAGCAGTAAACCAAAGGCTGAGACATGCTCTGCTCTAGAGCCCCTGTAGCTTGTGATAATTTCACCTGGCTCACAAAGTCACTAAGAGGACATAAATCTAGCTCTACAAAAAGTGGTTGTTTTGGTTTAGTTTGGGTTTTTTTTTTTTTTTGAGACAAGGTCTCACTATGTAGCCCTGATTGCCTAGAACTGATGATGATGATGATTTAAAAATATTCATCAAACACAATCTAAGTGTCTAACAATATGGGACTGGATAAATCAAATATTACATAGCCAAAAGCAGTGGTTACAAAAGTTATCTCAAAAGAGGAAATTCTTACTATTTTTAAGGGAAAATGTAAAACCACAAATAGTATATAGCAAATATTGAAAGAGAATAAACAGAGGAAAACAATATCCCAAAAGGACTCAAAATAATACCTTGACCAATACTCTTAGAAATTATTTTTCTATTTTTCCTTTTTCATATTTAGAGTTAACCCCTAATGTCATAAAGGTAAGATTAAAACAAAGAACAAATAGAGATTAATTTAGTGACTGAAGGTTATTCTTAGGACTTCAATTAAAGTCCAACTGAATAAAAAATTAAGCCAGGTCTGATGGCACATACCTTTAATCCCATTACTCAGGAACCAGAGACAGAGGCAGGCATATCTCTGAGACTAAGTGATGGCAGCATACTCATCCCTAAATGGGACAGCTATACCAACCCCTCCAAGGTTCAGTGAACATCACAGAAGAAGGGGCAGAAAGAAGGTAAGTGCCATAGGGTACAGAAATGGACAACAAAGACATAGCCATGAACTCGCTGAAGATATGGCTATCCATTTGTACAAGATTAGTTCCATCAACAGTTCATTATAGACGGGATGAACTCAGGAAGCTCTATTCCTTACTGACAACTGGTAACCAGGAGTTGTTGAGGGAAGAAGCATTCTTTTCTTCCATGATGTAACCACTGAAAAGTTGTCCTTGCTCCAGTAAATAGCTTCTTACCCATGCACATGCAAGCAACACTGATTTAAGTGAATGAGAAACACACACACACACACACACACACACACACACACACACACA